CCGCGGGGGGGGGGGGCCTGGGGATCCCTGTATTAGAGAGTCCCCCCTCTCCCCTACACAGGAGAGACTGAGGCTGTTGTACTCACCAAGAGAATTTAGATGCTACCAATGTCAACAAAAGGCCACTGCCACCAATCCAATACCAACAAGAGCCCACCCTATGAGGTGCCTTAAAAGGAACCATTGCTCAAGTATTGCCAAACTAAGACACAACCTCCTAGCAGAAACCCAAGGTGCATTCCTGAAGACAAAGGAGAGGCCCGCTTTTATAAAGTTCCCGCCCTGGTCCCTGATTGGCCCTTCTTATGCAAATGAGGACTCCAAATGTGCTGATTGGTCCACACAACACTGTCCTAACTGGTTGGAACCACGTGTTCTGATTGGTAGTTACAGAGCTGCTCTGGTTGGTTAGTAAAGATGCAAAGGACATAGCTATGCCTTGGGACTGGACCCAGCAGGTCTCAGCTGATTGGTCAAAAGACCATACTAGGAACTCCTTTATAAGGGTCAGTTCAGCCAGCAGGTGTGTGGGAGGCCCCAGTTAAGCGCAAGGAGTCTTTGGCAGATACATTTCTCAAGGTCCACACCAAGAGCTTGAGCATATTAGACGTTATTACAAATCGGCCGGGCAAAGGGATCTGCATAGGACCCTATTCAAATCAGTTGTAATTACACCCCTTGTGTGAGTTCATCATGAATAGTCAAAATGCTTTGCTAATGTTAGTTTATACCTCAGCTCTTCAGTAACAATGCTGTTGCTTTTACCTAAATACCCCTTATCTCCTCGTTCCACTCATGTAAATTCCTACACATCTTTCAAATGTCAGGAAAGTCCATCTGCTGTGGAGTTAGGAAGATGTGGTAGCTGCACCTCTAGCACCATCACCTAATACTGTGTGGCATCGAGGAAGTTAGTTAACCTTTCTGATCTGTTTTCTCATCTGTGAAATGGGCATAAATGACTACCTCTGTAAGTTACAATGGGAAGGAAACGACACTATGTGAAGAGAGCCTGGGACATGGCATCCAGTTAGCCTGACTTACAGCTATTAAATATGAAGACATATGACATTTGGACTTCCATTCGTACAGTTTCCCAGGCCTCACAGGCCTTCGGGGTACACCTGCCTGTAAGTGGCCTAGTCAAAGGACTTGGATTGTCTACGGGGAAATGCCAGATCCAGTCAAGATATAAAAATACGAGGATTTTCTGTTTTAAAACAGGAGGAAAAGAAGCCTGCTACCAAAGCCTCAGTGCACAAGCTTTTTACATTCAAGGCGTGAAGAAATTACCGGAAGCAGTTGATGGGCCCAGGTGTCTGTGCCTACAGCAAGGCTCCTAATGCAGACTCATCCGGAGCTGAAGGGAGAGGTGTCTCTGCGACCTGTGGGAGCGGGCAAGGCCCACCATCTAACCCGCGCACCTCCTGCCTGCCTGTGCCGCACAAGGGTTCTCTGGTCCTCTGCCCTGCTCTGTAAGTACCTGGCGTAGACCTTTGAGAAAGTGTGTGTATCAAGTCCCCTTATTTGGGACGCTTGGCTATTCCGAACTGATGTGTTAGCCCACACGTAGCATTTAAGAAATCTGTTAAAATGTTACCTAACCTTTTCTTACCTGCTTGTGTAGTGGCCACCTCTTTCCTTCACCTCCTCTCTGAGATGAAGCAATCTGTATGTCCTATCTCTTGTCCGAAGGTTCATCGATCCAGGATTGTTTGCTTTGCCTTTCACCCTCAGCTCTCTGATACACTCAAAAAAAAGCTATAATTCTGTAGATTCCCCCTTTTCTCCTTAAGTTTGGAGTGACATTCTCTCCTCCATTAGACATGTAGCATTAATATAAATAACTACAATATATACATTGAACCCCATGAAGACATATACTATTATTATCTCTTCATTATTGTAATCCCTTCTAGCACCAAATAAGACACAAGTACTCAAAACTAAATGGAATTATACATATAACAGGTATTTATATTTTCCAAAACAGAAAATAGTAACCCAACACACAGAAAACACCGGCTAGCTACAACGTCCACAGAAGTACTGGGGACAGAGAAGAAGAGGAAGAGCCCCAAACCTAACCTGGGAATTATTCACAACTACCTGTTATGTTTTCATTTATACCTGTTATGTCTGGAGATTCTGGTTACTATGCTGACCAAATTCAAAATAGAAGCACAAATGAGAAAAGTATACTTAAATTAAGCTTCAAGAAAAAAATGAAATAGCAAAACAGATCAGTAATTCTTTATTGTTTATTCTCCTCTTACAAAAAGACACTTGGGACAAATAAATATAAAATGGTATATGTCTTGTTTTGCAATGGGCAAATACAGGTTTTCTTGGTATTCTCTGCAGGAATAAACTCATGAAATTTTCAGAAGTACATTCTCCTATGCACCACCCACCCTCTTTGAAAAAAAGTCAATTCTTTTGATTCCCTACAATTTTTAACAATAGTCTCAAAATTAGTAATTTAAGACTGACTCTAAGACATCTGAATCAAGTTAAATATATATGCATATGTGATGTTGCCCAGAAACTTCAACTAACGGATATTCTTACAAGTTTTTCATTTACAATTTATATGAATAAAGAGTTTGTTCTATTCAAATCTGCATGACAAAAAAAAAAAAACACAGAAAGCTGAGTACAATATATACAATTTCCTGTCCTAAGAGAAAACATTAAATACAGGTATATTTAATATACAGTGAACATGCCACGTGTTTTCTTTAAGTCAACAAAATCCTGATTTCTTATATCTTGCAGGTGATGCAGCAGCAGGCAAATACCAAAACCAAATTTAACTAATAAAATTAGCTAAATAACAATACGCACAACAGGACACTAGGGTCTGAGCAAACGAACATTTATCCAATTGCATCGTTTCACCGAGACTCATCTTTAGGCCAATACCTGAAGAGCTCTGCTAATACTTTTAATTAAATATTCTTAGTTAACGGTTTATCTATAAAGTGGAAAAATATGTACGAGTTAGTTCAAACCAGAAAGAAACAGTGATATTTTTTTCTCCTGCCCTGTAAAAAAAATTATTTTTAAAAACCCATTTCCAGTAATTGTTTACTAGGTGCTTTATAACCACTTTCTACTTTATGAAGACCACGTATAAAAGCAGAAAAGAACATGAAATATTTAAAGGGTCATCATCAAAATAACCAAATGGATTTTAAACTTATTTTTATATTCCTTCTGTACTACTTAGGTCTTGCACTAATTACTGGATTCCCTAAAATAGTAAATCAAACTTAATAGAAAAACCTGGCTTTTATATTTAAAAAGAAGCTCCCTCCTCCTCTACGGCTACCTCTCAAACATTGAAGCAGAAATTAATCTGGTTGCTTTAAGGGGTTGATGTCATATGTGCTAAAAACAATCTCTATTAACTCTTCAAACTTTTTAAGACCGATACGAACTTCAAGGTTCAACGGGCTTATGCGCGCAGCGGCTGCGTGAGACACGGAAGCGGAAGCCGCCCGCACGAGCGGGGCCACACGGGAGAAAGCACCCCTGAAGCCCGAGGACGGCCGCGTTCACGCGTGTCCACACGCGACAGCTTACGTTCTCCAAAATACTAGGTTATCTGGTTCATGTCCGAAACTTTAACTTCAAGAGCCAATTTAAATTGAGGGGGGAAATGTATATGTTCAAATTTGTGGGCGAAGACCTTTAAAGCACAGGTCAGTTTCCCAGGAAGCAAGTCCTGACTCCAGAAGTCCAAAGAAACAGCACAGAGCCGACGGTGACAAGCCAGGGCATCACCGTGCACGACCGCCACGCCGTGAAAGCCACAGGGCTGCGACTCGGCGATTAAAATGAACGTCCTCGCAGGGGAGACAGCGTCTCACGATGGATGGAGATTATGCCCACTGCTCGTGAGACTACTGATGACGTCGCACTTTGTGACAATTTAGAAATCCAAATTTAACTCCAGGAAATATGAACTGAAGACAGACAGTACACACACGGCGGCTGAGTGGAGCCTGCCTGCGATAGTCTTTTATTTTTTTTTCCTTTAAGGCTACAGAAAATCTGCACATTGACAAGGCAATTAATTCTCATAATAAAAATACCCCCGTCCAAATAGCCAAGGTCCCCAGTCAGATTCTATGGTGACTGTATGGCACGTCACATGCTACTCCACAGCTGTATTTTCTTGTGAGTCTGCGGGGTTATGATCAATTCTTTCTGGAAATATTAGCTTCTCACAAACTGTCTCCTTTATTGGTAAATACTGGGATATTTCATTAGGTTCCGTGAAGAGGGAAGGTGAAACATGCTAGGAAATATACAAATCACATTAGCATATATTCAGTTATTGCACTGATACTTTTTAGAAATGCTTTGGTTCAAGCATTCATAAAGCGTGCGGATTTTTAAATGCAGGGCGGTACACGGAGATAAGGGTTATCGCTAAGGGTCCCTGACAATAACGTATCTCTTGTTACTGACTCTTTAGCTGTCGCTCAATGATTTCCTCAAATATCATAGGAGTATGGCATTTCCAATGCTCCCGCAAGTCCTAAGAATTTACTACGTCTTAATCCACACTCCCTGCCCCGCTGCTTTGGTACGCTGGGAGCAGCAGCCTTTAGTCGGCGCCCAGTGTGTGGTCTACAGTGGAATCTAAGTGACTGGAATCTAAGCCACGTATCCTCTGCGCCCAGACCAGAAATAAGCACAAAGGGTGAAAAGACAATATCAAGTCTGCAGGGAAGTATCACTTTCTAAGCAACTCCTTTACGAGTCCCAGGGAAACATAAAGCCCTTTGCAAGTCCCAGGGAAACAAAAATAAAGAGAAATTACGCCAAAACCAACAAGTCGTGCTACAGAGCTACCACACGTTAGGGGGGAAGAGGACACTGGGAGGAAGGAAACTGCAAGGTAGCAGGGTGGCAGGTGGAAAGGACGTCTAGTGGGTGCCACATGCATGACTCAGGGTAATTCACACCTCTGGGTCTCGGTTTTTCCAGAATAAAATGTGGATACTAGATTGGATGATGGTTAAGGTACCTAACAACTCTAACTGTTCTTGGGTTTGAGGTAAACTCAAAAAAGTTATCCCTGAGCAGGATTTTTCCTACAGAGTCCTTTAAGTGAATTAATAGGCTCAGGGATACAGATTTGGGAGGACAAGTGAGGCATGTGGGGGGAGAGGTACCATATTTAAAATGAAACATAAAAATTCGGTGTCTAAAAACATATTTAAATACTGTACCATTAAATTAGCAATCTTGCTCTCTCGTGATGTATATTCTCGTAACATGTAGGTCTTGTCGGCCTGTGTTTGAAAATAAAAAGTTGCAACAAATTTATTTATACTGATTTTATAACCTTTCCTATTAAACAGAACTGCTTACATTTTAGTAGTTTGTGAAAGTAGCATGAAGACTATCTTATTCCTCAGTAAGGTAAGTGCTACTTAACTCTCACCGAGAGTTCTGAATTATTAATTCCAATCCCTATAAATCACAGTAACATCAGATACTAATACGTGAACAGATTTGATAATTACCATGTAAGAGAAACACAAGCAAGGGTTTTACTTTGAAAGTAATTATGTATATAAGTGAGATATGCAAGAGATTTTATTATTAGTTCAAGTTCGTAACTAAATCTTTTCCTTAAGCTATAAATATTATCATCTACTCACACGACTATGGCTACTTTTATGTTCCAAAAAAAGAATTTTAAAATGCTTTATTCTCTCCCGTTTCCGCAAAATTCTTGCCAAATTGCTTATTGAAAATCACTTTTTTTGGTACTTCAATTTTTCCCATTGAAGATTTTTTTAAGTTAGGTTTTAAAACAGCAATTTATTACCATTTTTTTGGGAGGGGGAATACTTTTCAATAAGAGAAAACTACAAGATTAAACTCTCTAAAGTTTCAATCTTTTATATCAATAAAGATAGATTAATGCTCATTATTTTTAAAAAATCAAATAACAAAGTATGTAAAGAGTATAAACCATCAGCCATCACAGCTCTTATGACACTGCCTTAACATCAGGAAATCTCTACACAAAATCTTACATAATCTTACACTCATCCCTCCGAATCAGTTAACTGTAACTCTCTGCCACTCATTTAATGGTTGTAATTTCTCTACTACACGGAGATAAACAACTTAATCAATGCCCATTCAATGGTCACCAAGTGTCTTCTTTCCCTCCGTTTTGGGTTACAAACAGCAGTGCCACGGACATCCATATACATACAACCCTAAGCAACTGCCTGATTTATATTTGTGGATTATTAGATAATAGAATCTTTTTAGAGTAATTCCTCAAAAACTCGATATCGTTAAAACAAGTATTTTTTAAAATTTAGATTTCGCCCTTTCTAAGGGAGAAAAATGCAGCCAACTTTTAGTATTTCATCGGGGTGTTGTAAGAGGTGACCATTACAGCGACCACCCTGCGTGATACCCAGGGTCTCTTCTCTAATGCATCATCTTACACGACCACAAATCTGAAGGTAAAAATTCGTTCAGAAAGGACAGGCTGCCATGAAGCTACCAGAAAAATGGTCACGACTCAGTTTAAGCCTCCCTCCACTTTTTCTAATACTTTATTTTTCTACAAACCTTGTGTGTTAATGATTCCTTCAGGTGGAGCACAGAGCTTTCAGGCTTTAGAATAATTATCTAAATAATTATGGTACACCAATTTTAGGAGGCCATGTGATTGCTATTTCTAATATCAGTTCCTCATATAAAAAATACATACTATAAACTAAGGGAAGAGAGTTTAGAGACAGTTTTCTTAGATTAAGAACATATAAGAATTTTTTAAAAGCATAACCCTCCCCCACCGCCCCACCGCCAGTTAGGGAGTGTCCTGTAGAAGACATTTTCTGCCAGAACTTTCGGAAAAGAAGATGCGATGTTTCAGCAACTGCAGTCAACAGTGACTGTGAAACAACGATCTTAATGGTTAGAAAGATTGCCATAAAATATAAAGCGTTATTTAATTTCAAATTCTCAAACAGACAATGAAGCAGCAAGAAGAGGCCCGACATCGATCAGTGTGCTCGCTAAGTGAGAAGCTACCTCGTGGTAAAGTCTTGTGTCGTTCATTCTGATAAGCACGCCATCAATTCTCAAGAAAAACCGCAACAGCAGGAAAAAGCTAGACGGCATTACTCTCTGAAAACAACAAAAAAAAAGTACATTAATATTTTTATAAAAATTAAATATTTCGTTACATTACAAAAGAAAAAAAATTGTTTTAAGCATTGGAGGAGGGCAGAAGTGGCAGTATATAGAAATCTTTGACCTAGAGGTTCTTTTTCCTAGCTCCAAGGCTAAAAACCCTTGTTTATATTCTATTGTTGAACGCCCTGGTTCCTTTGTGCCGCAGGTGAAACGTGTTCCTGCCCAGCACACCTAGACTCCCAAGCACAACACGGATGCCGAAGGCGGACAGCGCTCTCTCCTGGCTCCAGCCAGGACAGAACCGGCCGGGAGCTGTCAAAGCCGTTCGAGAGCATCACAATGCTGCCAGGGTTCAGTAGACAGAAAACTTATTTTCTCTGAAAGTTAAAAATTAACCTATTAGCAGGAACACAGCTTCTCCCCAGATTTCCGTTACAGCACAGTCCCACAGGCCCTAAGCCCTAGCAAGGACAAGAGAAGACTCGGGGCACGAAATTCTAACCTAAAAACAAACACTGCTGAGAGAAGCTCGTTTAGAAAAACAAAGAAAAATTAATTTCTGAACTAAACATCTTACGATTAGACGTAAGTAACGCCATTCAACACCAAAGCCATCGAAAGTGACATACGCCGCGGACTCTGATGCAGCTCGTCCCAGACCTCACGGCGCAGAGCCCGAAGCCCCCTCTTTCGTCCTGGGCTCTTTTCTTTTCTTTTCTTTTCTAAGTAAAAATCGTCTAGGTTTAGAATGGAAAATTAAGGTGGAAAAAATCACTTCAAAACCTGAAACAGTGAAATAAATTAAGAGCAACCAAAAAGGTTCCACCCAAGAATATGAGGGATATCGAGTAAGTCACTTTGCTTATCAAAGCAGCTTTCACGTTTCTATCGCATTTCTTTCGAATGATTTATAATCGGTCTTATGGAAACTAAAAATAAACATTCATCGGCATCTAATTTTGCAATTCTAAAGTAATTAAAAACTTTCTATCGGTTTTGCAACCAAGGTTAAAAGACTCAGAGGCAAGTGAGAAGACACGGATTTACTCTGTACCCCAAACTCCTAGCGAGGAGGAAAGCTGTAAGGTCATCCTTAAAAAGCTATCCTGTTTCAGGAGCTCATTGGAAAGCTCTGTTACACTAAAAATAATCTGGGATGGTTCCCATTCTATCTGAAAGCAATTGGGAAAAATGTACATTTTAAGTCAGAGAAAGCCCTATGGACAAGGGCCAATTAAAGACCTTGGCGAGCGAGGGATTTGGAGGTCATCTTCAGGCTTTATTCTCTGGCAGCGGCCGGTAATGGGACAGGCTAAATTGATTAGCCACTCTCCCAAGCCACCAGCTCAGAAAATATGTCGGTGTCACCGTGTTCCACCGTCAGGCCCCACTCTGGTCCAGCAGGACAAATTTATACACCCAGAACCCAGATCAGGGGCCTCGTCCTCTAAAAAGCCTTTGCTGACCCACGCCCTCCGTTCCCACATCTGCCCACCACCTTTCCATTCAGCACACAGAGCAAGTGTCCTACTTTAAGTGTCATCAAGTAAGAAATACTCTTTGTCCTAAGGTGTAAAAGACCACTAAATCGCTGATCTAGGTAACCGTGAGAAACTCCAGGTTTGGGGTCCCCTGGAATGGAGGCAGACTTCCCAGACCCTGTGCCCCTTCCCTCCCACCGCCATGGAAGCAGCAGCTCCCTCCTCTGTCTGGGGCTAACCTAGATCCCAGGGGTTATGAGCAAGGGCGGAGAGTCAGACCTACTCACTGTGCACGTGACCTTGGGCAGGTTACCTTCTCTGACCCTCCCTTTCCTCATCTGTAAAATACGGACGTGAAAGTATTCAGAGAACTTGCCTGAAGGTCACATGAGTTGATGTAGACAAGCATCTAGCATGGCGTCTCACCAGAGCAAAGGCTCAAGCCCCTTCTGCTCCTCCCCTGCTCCTTATCCTCGGGATCCTCAGTCCACCCTTTTCTCCCCTCTCTCTAGGACTCCTTCCTGTGGACACCTAAAGATGCTCGGGTCTGGACGTGGTTCCATAGTGTAGCGGTGAGCACGTCTGCTTTACATGCAGAAGATCTGGGTTCGTGCCCCAGTAGAGCCACCGTCTATGGTCCACGGCCATGCCACCCTGAACAAGCCCGATGTCTGATCTCGGAAGCTAAGCAGGGTCGGGCCTGGATGGGAGATCACCTAGGAAGACCAGATGCTGTAGGCATAAATAATAATAATAATAATACAATTTTTTTAAAAAAAGATGCTCGGGCCTTCCCTGTATTTAAAATGTAAAACACACACACACATACACCTGTCAACCTCATGTTCCCTCCCAGCCATGTGTTTCTTCTCCTACACCAGTGAGTGAAAGTCTGGTCTCTGCCTCCACATGTCATTTATCCCCAACCAAGCAACTTAAACTGCTCTCGCCAGCCTGATCGCTAAAACCAACAAAACCAGTTTTAGTCTCAGGGACACCGTGCCACTCTAGCTCACCGGGTCCCTTTACGGCACAAAACTGACCTGTGTTCCCTTCCTGAGAAGTTCTAGTCCCTTGGCCTCGCAGGCACCACACTCCTGCTGTCTCGCCTGTACCCTATTTCTCAGGCTAGTCTCTGCTTCCATACGAGAGAACCTCATCTGTCCACACCCATTACCTCTAAGCCAGAAACGAGGGCATTTATTTTATTCAGAGCAATATCTGATACATGGTTAGAAAGAAACCAACCCAGGAAGAACACTATTTTAATGAAATCCTTATCGGCATTTCAAAAATCCAACCCTATCACGTGACTTGTAAAAAGTTACACTAGGTGAGAAGAAAGACACTTCACAATGACGATGACAATACTCTTCGGCCCGAGACGTGCTGTTTTCTCTGGTTCACACATAAAACACTCACGTGCACACTCTCTCCAACACCCGCATCTATAAAAACCCGTGCTCACCCGTGCCCACCCGCTGGAACACAAACACACACCCAAATGTTCACTCAGAACGAGCATTCGACATCGTCAGTTTTGGGGAGACAAGCGGAAAGGTACATGAATGACTGCACGAGTCAGAGTGAGCCAAGCTAAATGACGAAAGATAAAAGCAGGGAGTTAACAGGTGAGCAGGGAGTAGGGTGCCAGGAAAATGATGATCTAATATTAGGGTAACGATACACATTGGTTCAGAGAAAACTCACTAATTAGTTTCACAACCTTAGGTAAACCAGTCTTTGGGGGCCTCGTCCAGAAAATACGAAGGCTAAACTAAATGATTCTCTAAAAATTCATTACAATTCCAAAATCCTATCATTCTACAGCAAAACCTGACCTTAAAACAGATGTATTGCTGCCTCTGATTTATTGTTTTCATGCTTTACCATTGTTTAAATCACAACACCCACAATCGTTACGCTTCAAGGACAATGTTCGATGTGGGGGCCTGTCTTTGACAGACCTTCTAAGTATCATGACGGAAAAGTTAAAACAAAGTACTTATAAGAAGATGGAGAAGGGTTACTTAACCCGCTGTGGAAAGGCTCACAGAGGAGGTGACACTTTTGCTAGGTCTGAAAGGATGAGGTATTTAATACAAAAGTTTCAGTTGAAGTTTTTCAGGAAAGCGTTAGAAACCCAGTTACGACCTAATAGTAAGCGAACAGGAATGACTGCGTGTGGCCTGTCTGCTTCTCCTCTTAAGCACATTCCGCCACCAGCAGCACTATTATTGGGAGTGACTGGTCCCTCAAGGGAGTAACACTTGTCACTGCTGCTTCCACGTCTATGCTGGAAACTGAAGTGTGGTTTAATGGTGCACAGAAATCCTGACGCGTGGGTCACTTCTTCAAATGACATCCACCTTGCTGTCTGCAGCCTTTCAATACCATTTTTAATTCAAAATGTGGAAATTAAGCCATAGTTTTCATTCAAATTAAATAATAACTGCAAAGTGGCAGGCGGGTCTTGAATAAATGCTTGCTAAACTGAAGTCATAACAATATACTAAGATTTTGTGAATTTTATAATGGATATAGTAACAAATCCTCTAGACCCAAGTGAATCTTTACATGACATCATGTTAAGGCACTATGACTCAAAGTGAGCCTTACATTTTTGACCAATGGCGAGAACGGAAGAAAGATTTTAAACAAAAATCATAATACTCACAATTTTCACACTTAAGCTTGAAACTCCATGATCATGAAGTTCATCCTCAAACAGGAGAACTTCTTCAAAAAACTTAATTTGTTCTCTGGCTTTCAATTTCTCGGTATCTATATGGTCTGTTGTAGGTACAACCTGAAAGGAAATATTTAAGAAGGAGCACATAAAAAAAAAATGTTTAAGGCACTAGAGACGTAGGCGAGCAGCTAACGCTACTGTATGGCCTCCGGAGAATTCTCCTAACTCAGCCCTCAAAGCCAGTCATCATCGAAACGGTGTCGGGGTAAAACAAGTTCCCACCTCCTCGTTCCTGGCAATGAAATGTCAAACAGCCTATGCAATTTGCCAAGTTTATCAATCAGGAGTGAGGAGAGAGGACATCAATCCATCTGTGAGGCATCATAAGGGACTTGCAGAGCCCCCCTCCCTCATGAGACTGTAAAGGAGGGCTCCGAGGGTTAGTGCCTGGCACGCAGTAAGAGCTCAAGAGTGAATGAATGAATTAATACGTTTTCTCTCAAAACCTATGTTTTTGTCTTGGAAGCAGCACAGAAACATAGTTAAGGCTTGGGATGCAGAGCAGTAGCAACTGAAGACAAGAATTAAGTTCCTGCTCTGAACTTCTACCTTCCCAAGATTCGAAAATTCTTTGCAGGGACAAGGAGCCCATATATAATCCCGATCGTAACCTTTCTGCCTAAGTGTCAACATCTGATACAGGGTCTCCAGTAACCACTTTTAATGTAAATAGTTACACGGAAATAATTTTGTTCTCTATAACAGAAGGTGGTATTTAGAGACTGCAACCTAAGCCAAACCTCATTTCGGTCACACTGTACGATTTCAAAATAGAGCTAAGCTCCCAGTGTGAGATCTACCAATCCCATCTCGCCAAGTGTCATTTAGCAGGGCCCTCCGTAAGCAGAGCTCACACAGGTGCAAATTCATAGCAGCACAGAGCTTTAGAAGTCGCGGAGAGCATCCCGCAGGTTGTCTTATACCAAAGCTCTGCTGTGAGGCAGACATTTCTGTTTACCCAGCTTACTGATAAACTGAGACTTGGATAGATGGATTCAGTCACTTGCCTAAAGTCCTGCCAGGCTCACGCAGAATGTGGGCAGGACAAATTGTCTGGCCAAAAGTCCTATTTGCCCACGTGTCTGTTCAACTGTAGAACTGGAAGCTACTAGCTAACAGGTTCTGTCTAAATCACCTAACACATTACATCAAGGACAGACACATTTTAATGCTTCTTGATAATAATGATAACATTAAGGCAGTTTGCCATTGCTACCAACCACACTTTTAGGAATAAAACCCATTGCTAGAAAGTTCTAATGCTAAGACTGTTCAAGACAATGACTCATAAAATAAGATTTACCTTTAACTTGAGTGATTCTCCAAGTAATGTACCCTTATAATCTGTCGTATAGGTCCAATCGTATGGTTTAACAACCTCCTTGGAGTGTTCGCCCTCCGTCCTCAAATACAAAATGAGAAGGGTCAGATTTGGTGACGCAGAGCATTGATCATCTGTATTCATGTCACACCAAATTACAGTCTACGAATAGCATAAGATATGCTACCAAATACATATGCTTGTCATAATTCACTAACACAAATCTTTCTCTTTTTTCTTGCACATTTGTTTTATTTAACTTGTCATGTGCCGATGTCGTCTTTCCAATTAATCTGCACACTGCCTGAGGATGCGGTTTAAAAGGAGGTTCAGTTCTCTTTGCTTCCTGCAAGGTACCCAGTACTTAACAGTCACAAAGTAAATAACTGCTGATTTGATTCTCAAAGAAAATCCATTTTTCTTAATTTCAAAGCTCCTCGAATTTTCAAGGCAAATCGTAAACGGCAACGTTAAAATAGGGTGTACTGCACGGCTCAGCTCAGGTGTAATTCAATTCAACTCAACGAATATTCGAGAGGTGGGGTAACTAATCTCCATTTTGTTGATGAGAAAAATTAATTCAAGAATGATCCAACTGTCGACTTTAATAACCATGCTAGCCCTGCATTCTGACACACTATGTACGCCATGACTTCGGCTCCCTTCCGCCTCGCCCGCGCGGCCCAGACCCTCACCTGCTCTCCTGCCACGCCTCGGCGCAGGCCACCTTCAGCATGCCTTGGTAGTTGTTCACGCATCTCAGCGCATCCGTAGCGTTGAACTCAATCCCGAAGCCAGAACCGTGCTGAATTCTTAAAACGTTGTCTCCAAACATCATTTCGGGGAGAGACGGCATATGCAGTTCATCGGCTAACCTTCGCACAACCAAAAGTCAGGCAGGTTACCCTGCGGTTAGCGCTTGTTTCCTCTGGATGTCAACAGAGTGCTCCCTACGCTATTGAATGAGTTAAATAATCCGTGATTTCAGAAACACGATCCATTTGCGGTCTACAAATGCTTTCGTCATTCATCCATTCTCTCCACGTATATCTTTATGACACTGTACTAGGGAGTAGACTATACTGACAGATAATAAACAAGTATAGAAATAAATACACACTATAATGTCGGCTAGTGATAAATGACATACAAAATATAAGGCAAGGTAATGGGGGAGGCTATTAACAGGGAGGATGATCAGAGATTGCTTCTGAGGTAGTTGAGTTTGATCCTCAAAACTGCCTCGTGAGCTAAGAAAGGCTCAGAGTTCAGATAGCTAACTCAAGATCGCAGAGCTAGTAACTCTCTTTCTATTATGCTGGCCTGCTCTCTAATACTTGGACCTTATCTGGCCGGCCTCATTAAGGAAGAAAGTTACATCAGACATCCTTTAAAGCCAGAATCACAAATTATTAATCCACAGATGTGTTTCGTTAGCCTGAACAATATTTAAAATAGTTGCCAACAATTACTGAGAGACAGTTGTTACAAAAATTAAGAGGTTTTAGAGAAATCTGGACTTCTGATTTTTCTTTTTTGAAAAAAATGGAAGACCTGGCAACATGGCACCAACTGGCTAAAACTTGAGTAGAGGTTGCCCCTTTGACTGGGGCACAGGCTCTCCGATTCACCGGTACCCTTGGCCCTTGAGAGAGGTGAAGAGTTTGCAATCCCTGTTATAAAGTTTTAAGTGGCGGCTACTCGCTTCTGAAATAAGTAGCTCTATGTATAAATTACCACACCTTTGACTCATCACCGCAGTCACAACCAGGACGTTCAATTTAGCTCTGGAAGTTCAGCTCCTCAACCAAAGGCAATTATTTATGAGCTGGCGGGAACTCCTGCATTTTAGCCTGAGAACTCTGCCCAACACTCTCATGCTGAATTGAATAATGGTCAATTAAACTTACTTTGATCTCTCTTGTCGTAACTGAACGAGAGCCAAATGAAGTACAGACCGAGAGAGGGGGCAGAAAAGAGAAGCCACGAGGTAGAGAGGAGGGAGAATGATAATGTTAATCAATAGCAAGGGACGCAGACAGAACAAACCAGAGACAGAGAAATAGCAGTAACAAGAGTAGGACTTCTACACAATTGGTGGGGCCCCGAGAACTGCTGTCCCTTTTCTGAGATAATTCTGTGTTTGATTATTTCCTCATATATTATTAAATTCCCATTACTTAAGGCAACCTGGGTCTCTGTTCCTTGCGACCTGAAAGCGTAACTAACACAGAGGGTCCATGGAGGTGAATTTTTCCAGTTACCTTATGAAACAAATTTTTTTATTGATTGATTTTGGAAAATTTCCAAATGTATTACAGACTTCTTTGTGTTCTTCAACAGAAAATATAAAATATTATTTTCCCTTTTCTTGATGATCGGGAGTCATCACATTTAACAATACCGTGAGACAATGTGCTCAAGTTCAACTGACGTGTACACCTCTGGTAGTCCTATGAAATATTTTAGTTATATGTGTAAAAGAATCACTAACTTACACTGCTTCAAATGTTCTAAATCCAGAGTATCTTAAGCACTGGCCAGAGTATCTGAACACCATTTCTAATATCAAGCTTTACTCTTAACAAATGGGTATCATCATTTATAAGGCAGGGAAGAAAGGAAGCGTCTATGGGATTAAGATGCCTTAATTCATTAAAGGAAGCTTCCTTAATCCAATAATCCCCATAATCCATTTATTTAGCACCCTAGAGATTCTTATATCCTAGGGCAATGCCATCACAGAAAAATTTAGGATGGGTGAGGGGTAAACCTTTCTTTCGTCATAGGAAGCAGGACTAAGTATATTCAGGCAGATCTACTCTAGAAATAACAAATAAAGAGATTAAAGATCTGGAATTTGATTCCCTTTAAAACTCCCCATGCATCCAGCACCTCTTAGAGAATCTGTAAGTAATTATACAGGTAACCACAATTGGAAGCTGACTGCTTTATAGACAGCACAATTATATGTATATGGTGCAATATGTAACAGAGAAAGTTATATGGAGAAGAAAACTCAGAGTAAACTTGTGGTGGGATGAATTTTTCCTTTTCTGTATCTTCCTAGCTTTTCTTAGTGAGTCTTCAAGAATGTCTTTTTCTTTCTTTCTTTCTTTCTTTCTTTTTTAGTCAGCTAAATACCCTTTCAAGAGTCTCCTCTATTCCCTGGTCACCTCCCTCTGCCTAGATCTTAAATGCAGGCGCTTCCTAGGGTTCCATCTCATGACCTTGTCCTCTTCTTCTTGATGATCTTCATTCACTCCCAAGGCTCCAGGTATCAACTGAAAGGTGATGATTCCCAAAGCCAAAAACAAGCTTTTTTTAAGCTCCAGGATAAATATATCCAAACATCCACTACATCTCCACTTTATGACCCACACGCAAGGCACATTTCAACAAACTCGCCCTCTATCCAACACCTGCCCCTCCTGCTGTGTTTCTCACCTCATTCAATGGCAATGCTTCCCCTGCAATAACAGCCCAAGCTAGAAATCTTGCCATCCCTACAGGTTCCTCCTCTTCCCTTCCTTCTCCCTTGATCCCCTGGCCGTCAAATCCAGGGGCTTACTCCTCCCAAACCTCTCCTGTCCTCCCTGGCCTTCTAACTGGTCGCCTCGGACCCAGTCCCGCAGCCCTCCTCCAACCCATCGTCCTCCACATCGCCTCCTGCAGAGTGCACAACTGAGAATGTCGCTCCTCTGTGTATCAGTACAGCCGGTGGTCGTCAGACAAAATCCAGAACGTCTTAGCTGGGCATAAAAATTCTCTCGGCAATACCTCCGCTCCCGTGGGGCCTGCCTCTCTCTGCCTCTACTCCGAGTCCCCCTCTGGAACCTCGCGCTCCAACCGCACAGAAACAGTTCTTCAAACACACCGTGGCTCTCACTCTCCCTGACCTCCCGGCTTTACATGTGCCCTCTGAGCCCCCACACGTCGTCAAGATTCGGCTCAGGCACCCCAACTTCCTGGATGCCCTGCCCTCCTAAAACAGGACCTATCTCTACGGAACAGCAACTCGCGCTGCACGGTAACCGCCTGTCCTCCTCCGGAGGCTGTGAACTCCCCGAGTCGAGGCTGGCTTCCATCTTCCGTATCTCAACTGCCTGGCGCCGCACCTGACGTACTAAACGCCGAACATATATATCGCCCCCGTTACTAACCCCAAGCAAACAGGTCAGAGCCACCCAGGAACACATGGTGCAAAGGCGGCGCCGGCTGGGGCAGGTGGAGACCCGCGGGGAGAGGCAAGTCCGCCGGCGCAGTCATGCGCTACTCAGACGCAGGCAGCGCCTGGCGAACCCCAGCCGAAGGACGCGAGGGGCGACACGGTCATTCACCGATGTTGTCACTCAAAGGTCCCGTCTTCGGGGCAGAGCCTCGGCCCCCGGGGAGGGTGGGCGCTGCGCGAGTCGCCCGGCCTCCCGCCCAGGCCCAGCTCCCGCCCGCGCCCCGACCCGGGCCCCGGAGCCTCACTTCTCCACGTCCGCTGACTTCATGATGTGGGTCTTGGCCGCTGTCAGCTTCCAGGGCCCGAAGGTGAAGTCCTGGTGGCTGCTCTGGAAGCCGTG